AAGTATAAGTGCAAAGGAATTACTGTGCTTCAGGCCAACTAGGGGCCAATCGGGGAGAGCTGCGGCCGGCCCTGAGGGTACTGAGCCAAGCAGTGGTGTTGCTGGGAGAGGGGCGGGCTTTCTGCTCCAACCAGCACTGTCCTGGATAAACCAGCAGACCCCAGAGGCAGGCTCTGCCCAGCAGTGGACGGGTTTGAAGTCAGAAGCGCATTGGGACACTGCCTCTACCACCCTTGGCCCTTGTGACCCTGGGCCGTGACTTCACCTAAAGCTGCTTCCTCGGGTACAAACCAGAAGCACACAGGTGCGGGGTGTGATGGCACACACATGTGGTCCTGGCATGCGGGAGGCTGAGGCAGGAGGATTGCTACAAGTTCCAGGCCAGCCTGGACTACATAGCAAGACCCTGTCTCAAAAAGAAAAAAAAAACAAACAAACAAACCCCAAAACAGAACATAAATTTGCCACCAGGGAGATAATCGCCTGCTCTCTGCTGAGTGTCTGGTTTTAAAACGACAAAACAAAAGCTATTCACGCAGAGAGGGATTCATTTCAAGGCTCTCCATATTTCCCTTGATTTGTAAAAACACCTATTTTTGTTATTTTTGAAAATCAGGAAAATAAAGATATGTTTAAGTGAATAAGAAAATAAAAACCAACCCGGGTCTCCTGATGCACAGGCAGTGTTACATGCGCCCAAGGCCTGGAGAGAGGCCGAGGCTTGCAAGGACATGCTCATGACTTGTTGGGGCTCCTCGGAGTCTGTGCTGTGCCTCCAGGTGGCCGGACAGGAGGCAGGTGGCAGCAGAGAGCTTCCAGCGCTCACCCTGTGTCACTGAGGGGTCCGTGGTCCTGCAGCCAGCACTGCTGTCACCTACACTTAGTGTGAGACAGGAGACTTCAGTCTGCAGACAGCGGGCCCTTGGCAGTATTTGGGGAAGGGCAGTGCCGCCCCTGCCACACCAAGCTGGAAATCTAGGTTATTTTTATAAAACATAAACATCAAAAATGTTTAAAATCTGGGTATGCTGGCATAGGCCTGTACTCCCAGCACTCAGGAGGCTGAGGCAGGAAAATGGCTGCTACATAAACAAGTTCCAGGCCAACCTGAACTAGAGAGTGAGACCCTGTCCCCCCCGCCATAAAAAAAGTTTAAATCGGGCGTGGTGGTCCACGTCTACAATCCCTGTACTCTGGGAGGCTGAGGCCACAGGATCACAAGTTCAAGTCCAGCCCCAGGGACTTAGCAAGATTGTGTCTCAACATACAATACAAAAAGGGCTGGGGATGTAGCTCAGCGTGAAGGCCCTGGGTTCAACCCCCACTATCAAAACGAGCACTGCGCAGCCCAACAAAGCCCTGTTGCAGTGAGAATTCGGCCCACGAGGCTCCAATTAACAATTTTTTCTTGAAAAGGGCTTTTTTAGGAAATCGAGGCAGGTGAGCCATGAAAGCAAGTCCCTCCAGCAAAGGAGCGCTCCTGAGCCGTTGCCTTTGTGCACACAGGAGCTTAAACCCCGTGACCCCAGAGCTGCCTGGGCCAGCGCACAGCAGATGCCTTCACTGGAACTTCCCTGAGCCTGCACTCAACCCGCTATGCCGCAAACTGAAGAGAACGGATTTGCTCATTCTTTCTAGCTCACTCAGGTGGTGCCTTTGTCCCGGAATCTTTTGCCCAGTCCTAACCCAGGCGTCACGGCACAAACTGGCCTGTAAAAACCCTTCTACTCAATGGGTATGCTGGTACATGCCTGTAATCCCAGCACTTAGGAGGCTGAGGCAGCAGGATCGAATGTGAGTTCAAGGCCAGACTGGGCTACGTAGTGAGACCCTGTTTCAAAAAACAACAAAACTAAAACAAAACCCCATCTACTACTCACGACACACCTCAACTACTACCAGCCCCGTCCTGCATAAGCTTAAAGGACCAGGTGGAGATCAGGCTAGGACCAGCAGCAGCAGCTCAGCCCTGCTTTCTCTGCACAAGGCGGGGAGCGCTGAAGGGCATCTTGTCTTAATCAGTTTCATACCCATAGGGAACAATACTTTGGCACTAAATGTTTGTGGGTCTGTGGACCGATGGATCACTCCCACACAAAGGCTTTGTGGGTATGGTAGGCTCTGAAGGATAGTCCTGACCACACAGGCATTTGTTCACCCAACCTCCTGGTGGCACATTCCCGTGATCCTTCATTCAGGAAGCTGAGGTAGGCGGATCTAGAGATCCAGGTCAAGGAAAGTTTCCTGCACTAGATTCTTTTTTTTTGTTTGTTTGTTTGTTTTCCTTTTTATCGGTACCAGGGATCGAACTCACGACTGCCTGTTTGCAAGGCAGGCGCTTATGCTGCTGAGCTAAATCCCCAGCCCCCCTACACTAGATTCTTAAACTGAATTTCAAAGCTTTGAAAAGAATAAATCAGTGGTGAGAAACCTATGGCGCATGCCAAAGCCAGCTGTTCGTTATCATCTAAAAACTACACCATCTCTGGAATGTCTGTTCCTCCACCAGGCCAGGGCAGCAAAGGGGCCAGACAGTGGCTCACAGCCAGGGAACACACAGGGCGTGGCTACAGGCTGGGGGTAGGGGGACAGACTCTGGGTACCTCGGGCTGAGACTGGCCAAGCCCCAGGGAGCAAAGAGGGCCTTCAGTTTTCTTCCATACAGTTTCACCGTGTTATACATCATGCACCACAATATTTATCTGTTCGACGTGGACAAGGGGAGGGCTTTCAATAAATTTTGGGTTGTGTAGCCATTGTCACAGCCCAGCGTCAGGTGGTTTCGGTCACCCCTTAAAGATCCCCTGCACTCTTTGTGACAACAGATTCACTTCCTGCCTCCACAGAGCGCGCCTTCCTGCTCGGAGCAGAAAAAAGAACACATACCTGCTCAGGGTTCTGCGCTTTGAGACCTTGCTGGGGCTGTGGAGGGCGAGTGGCCAGGGTGAAGGCCAGAGGACGTCTCTGTCACTACTTCCCACGGTGCGGAGCCTGACTGCAGGCCTTCTGGGACTGGGCCTTCCTTCCTGGCCACGCTGGCACTTAGTAACCCCTGAGTAGCCCACGAAGCAGCGGGGTAGGGCTTAGGGCCACTCGTTAAGGCAGGGCACACTCTCCCAGGAGGCGGATGGCATGGCTAGATGTCATTATCATCCATGGAATGAAGGACAGGCCCTTGCGATTCGGTTTGGTGCTTGAAGCCAACGTCCTTGTTTTGTACCCTGTTTGCGTCATCAGGGGGTGCTAAGTATGTGGCTGCTCTTGGCTTTCTTGAAGCACAGCATCTGTTCATCAACCGAGGCTGCAGAATCACCGAGGATTTACAAAGCTCATCACTTTGCTCTGTCTGTGGCCTCGGGGCTGAAAAATGTGGCCTCTCTCAGGGTCGTGGCGGTGTTTATGGGAGGAGGGGACGGCCACCTCTGCAGGCCTCTCTTCCTGTGCCAGTAAACACATTCCTCCAAGTGGGCCTTGATGAGCTGGCTTTATCCACCCAGAAATGATGTCACCATGGCAACCGCCATTGTTCAGAAACATACTCTCTGGGTTCCTTTAACCCAGCCTGCAAAATCCCTACTAACATTCCCTTCAATAGGCTGCTAGAAGGTAGACCTGTCAATAGGAAGGAGAAAAATTATGATTCATGGGCCCATAGATAACTGTCAACCAAAAACCCAACAGAACCCACCCCACCCAACGCCTCTGAGATCTGATGCTGCCCCAGAGCTGATCCAGCCCAACCCAGGAAGAAACATTTTGAAAAATGATATTAATGAGAATCGTGTGGCCGTGGGTGTGTAGCTATTACACACCTAGCTGAGGCAGTGGGAGCTGGGCAGCGGCAGGTCCAGCAAAGCAGCCAGGAGCCAGATGAGGAATTCATGGGGTTTGATGCAGGGCCTTCTGTTTCTCGGAGGCAGTTTGGTATCCTGAGAAACACTGGATTCATTCACAGGAAGGCTGTGTCACTATGTCCTGATGTAATAAACCTCTCCTGGACACAGATTCTTCATCTGTCAAGACAAATGACAATGTATACTGGGAGAGTTAATTTTCAGGAATTAATAATGACTTTGAAATTGAAAGTGCTTTACAAATTGCAAAGCAAATTGCGTCGCCCGCTTCCGTGATTTATCAGTTTATCAGCGCCTTCCCCAGGTCTCCGCAGCCAGTTAGAGCCATGGGCATTCAGTGACCTCCGGCCATCTCGCAGGGCTGGGGACGTAGCTGAGCGGCACAAGCGCCTGCCAGGCAAGTGCAAGATCCTGAGTTCGATTCCCAGAACAACAACAACAAAAACCTCCCAAAGGCTGTGTGGTCGGAGGCGGGGTTCTGGGAGGCGGAGAGATCTTGGGGCGCTGACCTCACAGCTGACTGTGGGGCTGGAGGTTCGCAGAGAAGTAGGTCACTGGGCGTGGCAGGGAGGGGTCCCCTTGGGCTCCTCCTGCGGCTGCGCCTTGGGAGTAAACTGACGCCTTGACACACGGTTCTGCCGCGGAGCCAGCTCTCCATGGACTGAAGTCTCTGAAACCATAAGTCAAAACCAGCCTCTCCTCCAAGCTGAGTGTGTCAAAGATTCGATCCAGATCCAGCGACACAAACCAACAGTGCTGGCGGCGAGGCCCCTCCCCGTGCCAGGTCCTCAGGGGTGGCCACCGCCGAGACCTCCGCCAGTCGCTCTGTCCTTGGTGTCAGCCCTCAGGTTGTGACCCAGCCTGGCGTACTTTGAGGGCTTTGCATGGTGCCAGTATCTCCACCAAGCCCAGCCCTGCCCTAGGCGTGACCTGGCCCCCCAGGGACCCTTTCCCTGTGCCCAGTGCGGGCGCAGGTCCCACTGCCTCCAGCCCACTGTCCTGGGGGCCCGGCGCCCCTCCTCCTCCGCAGGCGTCACTGACCCTCGGGGACCCCGCGCCCCGCTACCGCCACAGCTGGGGCTGCAGCGCCCCGCCGAGGGCACGCGGGCGAGGCGGTTGGCGCTGTGGAGCGCGACCAGGCTGGCAGGGCCGCGGTGGCCACCGAGCCCCAGGCCGACCACGCCCGCCCTGGTCCTCTGGAAAGCGCTGGCCTGGCCCTGGGTGGCTTCGGAGTCATCCTCGAGGTCCCTGGGAGACCCAGCGCCCGGAGCACAGTGTCCACGCGGTGAATTTTTTGGAGAATACGGCCCACCTGCCCTGTCCTACCGCTAACCTCAGCTGGGTCACCTACGCGGTCCCCAGGGTTTAGGAAAATAGGTGAAGGCCACCTGGAGGAGGGGGACAAGTCCTGAACTGCGTCTCTAACCCTTTCAAGTTTTCTTTATTTTATTGATTGATGCAGGGCTGGGGATTGACCATAAACTAAACTAAATCTTTGTTTCTTTTTTTTTTTTTTTTTCATATTTCTTCTTTCTTTCTTTGTTTTTCTTGCTGTTGTACTGGAGATCGAACTCACCACCTTGTGTTCCCAGACAGGCACTGTGCTGCTGAACGCGGATCCTAATTTGTTTGTTTGTTGTAGTTTTTTGAGAGGAGGTCTCGTGGTGTAGTTCAAAGTGGCCTCGAACTCAATAGGTATCCCAGACTGGCCTTAATTTCACAGTGATCCTCCTGCCTCAGCCTCCCTAAACCTTTTTTTAAAATTTTAATTGCAGACAGGCTATGCGTGGTGGTGCAGGCCTATAATCCCAGGAATCAGGAGGTTTATGAGGCAAGAGGATCGCTGCAAATTTGAGACCAGCCTGGGCTACAAAGTGAGTTCAAGGCCTGCCTGAACCAGAAAGGGAGACATGGTGTTTAAAAAAAAAAATCAAAAAAAAAATTCAGACAGATTGTCACTTAAATTGCCCAGGCAACACTCTTAGACCCTCTTGCCTAAACCTAGAGTGAAGCTGGGATTCGGTACAAGGGATCAAAACTCACCACCTCATGCTTGACAGGCAAGCGTGGGTACTACTCAGTTATATCCCCAGCCTGAAATTTACATTCTTAAAAATATCAGTAAAGAATATACAGGATAGGGTGAGAGCAGAGCCCAGCTAGGAGGCTACAGATGGGTGCTGGTGGCCAACATTTCATAAGAGGCACTGGGGACAGGAAGAGATTTGGAGAGGAAAGGCCTCCCTGCAGGCCCAGACAGCGAGGGGTGGGGAAGGAGAGACCACCAGGGAGTTCCTGGGTGGTTGACAGAGCCGCACTCAGACCAGAGGGGGAAGCCTGCAGGGAAGAGGCCTGGGGAAGGGAATGGAGTGTTCTGCTCTGAGCACTTATGATGCAAGGGAAAGTCGTCACCCTGACCGATGGGAACTCAGGTCTGCAGCTCAGATGATGAGCCTGGGCTGAAGGGGAGTGTGAGGCACACAAGTGCTGTTACAGCAGAGGCCAGAAGACATCAGATAAGGTGGAAGACAGGAGGGAAGAGGCCTTAGAACAGAACGTGGGGGCCATGGGTGGGGAGACCCACATTTGGCATTCAGCAGGGAGAGGAGGGCGCAAGGCCAGAGGGTGGCCGAGAGGTGGAAGGCAGCAAACAGGACCTCAGAGAGGTCATTTCACATCATCAGACTCTGAGAGAAAAATACATCCGGCTTCATCAGAGAAGCTGCATGTGGCTGACTACTCCAGAGGTGGAGGCAGCGGGAAGGGGGGACAGAGGGAGAGAAAAAGAGAGGTCCCCCCAGAGGGTCTCTGAGGAGTAGCACAGTGGAGAGGCCAGGGGACAGGAGTTATCAGCAGTGACACACAGTCTCACAGTTACGTTTTTTGTTTGGTGATTTTTTTTGAGACAGGGTTTGCTGTGCAGTTCAGGCTGGACTTGAAGTCACTTGTACCCCAGGCTGGAATTGAATTTGCAATAATTTTCCTGCCTCAGCCTCCCTAGAGCTGGGATTATGGGCATGTGCCACCACCATGCCTGGCCTACGCTCTTTATTTTGAAACAGGGTCTCGCTAAATTATCCAGGAGGGATTAAAATTTGCAATCCTGCTGCTGCTTCCCAAAGTGCTGGACTTAAAGTCATAGACCACCACACTCAACTGCCACACTCCTGAGCTAAATTTTGAGTTCGTTTGTTATATAAATTGTTTGTTGTAGGTAATTGGGGAATGAATGTGACAATCTGTGGGGTTTTTTTTCTTCAACATTACAATTGCTGAGATTAGAAAAACGAAAAGACTCGAATAATTCCTATCAGTATTTTTTAATATCACAGTTGAACTCTTTGTTCGCGGGCGCACCCTAAATTCTTCTTACAGGAAGTGGCAGTTCTGCAGGGAGGGGACCGGAGCCTTGATTTGAGCTGGAAAATTGCAACTAAATGGGTTAAGCAATCTCTTTGGGAGAGAAATAAGTAGGCGCAACCCTCTCCTGGAGAGGAACTGGTTACCATGGCGCCGAGCAATAGGAGTGCTCAGAGCATCTTTTCCCATAGTCCTCCCTCTGTGGCTGAGCGCTGGCCCCCTGATGTGGTCAGCTTGGTCCCTGAGATCTGGAGGCCTCATCCATGGCCATGGCCAGGCTAGGGAAATGGAGGTGCCTGAGGTCCAGTGAGGGCCTCGGTATTTAGGTGATAAATGTTAGCAGTTCACAGTTATGAGTTCTTTCAAATAATATTTCAAGCCACCAAATTCTAGCATTCTGGGAGCAGTGAAAGACCCTGAGAATGTACTGATGGCTTTGACTTCCATGGTGGACACTTTCATGGCTCTCATCTTGGGAGCTCCACTGGCCGGGAAGTCAGTTATAAAGTCAGGTGTGCGCTCGGTTGTGGGGGAACAGCGGCAAACAGCAACTGTGGCAGCTTCACAAGTTGTGGATTTCTTTTTTATCAGTACCAGGGATTGAACTCTCGACCTTGAGATGCCGAGGTGCTATGCCACTGAGCTACATCCCCAGCCCATGAGTTCCTGATTTCTTGAGGGAATAGTTCACATTTTATTAGTTTAGGAGGAGTTATGGTTACATGCTAATTAATTTCAAATACACGCATACCATCAGCCTCTTGTTGCATCCTTGTGGTTAACTTTTAGAGAAAATAAGATTACAAGATTCCAGATTTAAAGACCAGAACTTTTACTGCTTCAGCAACAAGAACTCAGAAGATTTGCTCTTTGATCCACCCACTGCTGGCTAGCTTTATTCTAGAATTTCAAATCTGTTGGAATGCTGTGTGGAGGACCCCATGCCATTTCCTGTAGTTTCTTTTATCTCTATTTGAGCAAGGCCTTCTGAGAATGAAGAGACACACTGCAAAATTCAGGAAACCTAAACTCCGAGTCACCGTCTAGCATCGAGTCCTGGGGTTTTTGCCGAGCAATAACTAGAAATTGTCTCGAGCTGTTATGTTCTCTTTTTCCTTAAGGGATATAAACATTGCATTGAGTTCCAGGGCTGTGCAATGTCTCCGTTTAGCTCACTCTGGTTGTTTGTAATCAGATTCAGGTTCTACCACGGGTTACATCTTAAAGTAGACAGGGTAAAATGTCAATTTAAAAAATTGTTTTAAATGTCCATTAAACAGGTATTGGACATGAACCTCATCATTATCCTTAGGCAGGGGTTATTGAGTGAAAGGATATCAAGGTATAGATTTTTGGTCTGCTCTACTAAAAAAGAACAGAGATAAACTGGACATTGTGGGGCTCACAGGTAATCCCAGCACACTGGAAGGCTGAGGCAGGAGAATCAAAAGTTTTATGTAACTGAGTTCAGAAGTCCTAGCCTCACCAGGCATGGCGGCAGACATCTGTAATCCTAGCACTAATTTTTTTTTCTTAATAGGGATTGAACTCACGGCCTTGTGTTTTCCAAGCAGGCTCCACTTGTGATGTGGAGCTAAATCATTGGCCCCCTAGCACTGATTTTTAAAAAAGCTTTTCTAACCCAACCTGTTCATCTCCCATGTTCTTCCCCAGGATTATGTCTTGTGTGTCATCTGCTGTCACAAAAAACCATGACTTGCCCAATGGAGAACCTGGGTCTTGGCTTAGACGTTGAGAGCAACAACCAGCAGGCTGCGGCCACCCAGAGCCCAGGAGAATCGCACCGCCTCAGCATCCAGCGCTGCATCCAATCCCTGGTCCACGCCTGCCAGTGCCGCAACGCCAACTGCTCCCTGCCCTCCTGCCAAAAGATGAAACGGGTCGTACAGCACACCAAGGGCTGCAAACGGAAAACCAACGGCGGGTGCCCCATCTGCAAGCAGCTCATTGCCCTCTGCTGTTACCACGCCAAGCACTGCCAGGAGAACAAGTGCCCTGTGCCGTTCTGCCTCAACATCAAGCAAAAGCTCCGGCAACGGCAGCTGCAACACAGACTGCAGCAGGCCCAGATGCTGCGCAGGAGGATGGCCAGCATGCAACGCACCGGTGTGGTGGGGCAGCAACAGGGCCTGCCCTCTCCAACTCCTGCCAGGGAGCAGCAGACCAGGTAACCCTGGAGCCCTCTTTCAGGCTGTTCAGCTACCACTTCCAGGGCTCTCACTTGCCACAGTAGAAATGGAAATGCAGATTCAAAAAGTGATTGAGACACAGTACATTGTTCAGAGGCCAATCCAGCACCAGATGCCCTAGATGACTCCCATGACCCCCAAGGGGATGATCCCACCTCCTATGACCAGAGGTCCCAGTGGGCACCTGGATCCAGGGATGGGGCCCACAACGATGCAGTAGCAGCTCCCTTAGGCCCAAGGAAGGCTGCCTCAGCCCCAGCCGCTCCAGTCCGGGATGCCAAGGCTGGCCATGATGTCCGTGGCTCAGCACAAGCAACCCTTGAACGTGGCTCCACAGCCAGGATTGGGCCAGGTAGGTGTGAGCCCACTCAAACCAGGCATTGTGTCTCAGCAAGCCTCACAAAGCCTCTTGGGGACTCTCTGGTCTCCCCGCTGTCCCCTACAGCAGCAGCCCTGCTGCCTGCCCCAAGCTGTTGGCCTCATTCATAAACAGCGAGCTGCTAAAGACACCAGCTCATCCGTGGCCTCTCTGAGAGTAACGAGAGACTCCTGGTAGTCGCCCAGCAACTAGTTACTTTCTCTTAATATTTTTTGTTTAGAAAATAATTTTTTGAAAGCTCTTAGCCTAAAAGACAATTTTCCTTGGAACACGTAAGAACTGTATAGTAGCTGTTTGAGGTTTCAAGCAAACATACAAGATGGATGAACCTGAGAGAAGATAGGATACAAAGCACAGATTTTCCTTATGGCTGCTTCCCCCGCCTTCTTTCTAGGTGTGTGTATGTGTGTGTGTATGTGTGTGTGTCTCGTACAGGGAGGAGGCTGAGGTCACATCTGAGGGCTCCCTGTGCTTTGGCTGTGTACCTCCAAGAGGTTTTATTTATTTATCCATATTCTAGTTTTTTTGGTTCTTGTTTTTTTTTTTTGTTTTTTGTATTGGGGATGAAACTTACAACCCTGAGCTTGCCAAGCAGGTGCTATGCCTCTGAGCTATATCTCTGGCCCTTTATTTATTTAATTTTCCTTTTTAAAATTTATGATACAGGGTCTCAGTATGTACCGCAGGCTGGCCTCGAACTCATAGCAATTCTTCTGCGTCAGTGTCTTGAGTGCTGCAATTACAGGCGTCTATCTCCATGCCCAGCTGTTATTTATTTATTGAGACAGGGTCTCACTATGCAGATCAGCGCAGTTCAGAGGCCAATCCAGACCAGATGTAGCTAAGGCTGGTCTTAAACTTGTAATAATCCTCCTGCCCTAGCCTCCTGAGTGCTGGAATTACAGGCATGCACCATCAAGCCTAGCTGTTCAAATTTTTAAATTCATAAGAATACATTGGGGGCTGGGGATTTACCTCAGCGGCATAAGCAACTGCCTTGCAAGAAGGCGGTTGTGAGTTCAATCCCTGGTTCTGATAAAAAGTTTAAAAAAAAATACATAATCGTTATTACTAGTGCAGTTGACATTTTCCCCTGTTTTCCTGCTTTTTGGAAGAGTTAAAAATAAAGGACAAAAATTATTTCTGGGAAATCAAATATTATATATATAAATGTTAAAATCTCAATTCCTCCTCTTAGGTACAAAAAATATTCTTTTAAAAATATTTTTTAATTCCTTCCTCTGAAGACAACTTTTGTGCTACAGAAAACTTTCTCTTCCACAAATAGCATGAAATTCAAGTATTAAAATAATTTATACAAGTACAGAGAAAAATGACTTTTACAAAATCACCGAGGGAGCTGGGGGAAGGCAAAGGCGGGCAGAGAACTCCCAGGCAGCGGAGACGAGCTCCCCGCGCCTGTGTACACAGCCAGCTCCCTGATCCCCCTCCACCGAGCACTGCAGAGCTCCGAACAAGGTTCAGAGCTGCCACCTAGTGTCCTGGGCATCCGTTGCCCGCCTGCCCTGCCCTTGTCGCCCACAACATGCACCGGAGCACGGGCCGGTGCCCTGGACCAGGCCTGGACGCAGCCCTGCTCTGAGCGGCCAGCTGCGCCCTCCAGTCAGCCAGGTCTAGAGCACAAAGAGGCAGCACCGCGGCGCTGAGTGACAGGGATGTGGACTGCTAGGGAGACGCGTGGCCGGTGGGGGCCGGAAGGGCTCAGGGAGGGAGAACAGGAAAGCTGGGCCTCGGAGGGCAGCTGCTGGAGAGGGGCGGCGAGGAGAGATCAGCTCTGCCCAGGACGGGAAGGACCTGAGCCCGCGGGGTGCAGGGCGCAGCTGCAGGTGCGCGGGGCGGAGCCCTCGGGAAGGGCGCGGTGAGCACCTGTACCCGACAGAACAGCCAGCAGCGCAGCACCCTAGTATTAGGGTCCAGGGCAGGCTGCAAAGGGCCACAGGGAGAGCTGCATTCCCTTTCCAAGCAGCACCTCCCAGCTGCCATGGAGCTGCCTCTGGCTGAACCCAGCTGGGCTGTGGGTTCAGAGCAGCAGGTTCTTACAGGGATGTGTCCTCTCTCAGGGTAGTGGCCATGGGGGTTGGGGACCGCCACCTGTGCAGACCTCTCTTCCTGTGCCAGTAATTGCGTTCCTCCGGGTGGGCCTTGATGAGCTTGGACCAGCCAGCTTTATCCACCCAGAAAAGACGTCACCATGGCAACCACCATTGTTCAGAAACACACACTCTAGGTTCCTTTAACTGAGAGTGCAAAATCCCTCTCAAAGGGTCATGTTCCTTCCAATAGGCTGCTAGGAGGTAGCCCTGTCAATAGGAAGGAGAAAAATTATTTGTCATCTACACCCTCAAAATGTCAATTAGAAAACCCAGAATGAAAAAAAAAAAAAAAAAAAAAAAAAGAAAGAAAGAAAAAGAAAAGAAAACCCAGAATGCATCCGTTAGGATATTAGAACAGAATCAACCCAGTTTTGATTCTGCCTACAGGACTCCTCAGAGCTGGTCCACCCCAAGCCAGAAGAAATGTTTAACATAATTAACACGGCAGTGCCATGGTGATGAGTGTTGCTGGGAAACTGTCACTGGCACTGGCGTTGCAGGGAGTCAGATTTGGTAGAGCCTATGTCTGCACCTAGGAACATCTGCTCCAGACTTGGTAAGGCATTTGCGTGTCAGAGGATGGGAAATAAATCCAACTAAAATTCACGGACCCCCTCCCTCAGTGAAATTTCTTGGAATCCAGTGGTGCAGCCTTGCTGACAGAGGCCCCTAATTGGAAGCATAATTTAGCGGGATCCGGCCCGTCCTGTGATCAGGGAAGCAGCACAAGGCTTGCGGGGCCTATTTGGATTTAGGAGGCAACACTTTCCTCACTGTGGGGTGTTATGGTGGCCCCTTATCCAGCCAGTCAGAAAGGTGTTAGTTGGAGTGGAGGCCAGAGTGAAGGAAGGGTCTGTCACTTGGGCCACATGATCCAGGAGATCCAGTACTTCGTGCAGTGGCACTGGTGTATAGGGACATTGTTTGGAGCCTCCCTCAAGTCTCCACTGTGGGGTTCCTGCAGAGGCCTCTCACGTTTTCTCAAAGAATTCTCTTTGAGAAAAAGCTCCTGATCTCCTGCTGCCCATCAGCCGAAGGAACACAAAGCCACCGTGCAAACTGAGCTGCCTGGTGACAGAAGGTCATCTGACCACTGAAGCAATGAAGCTGGACCTGCACAGATAGCCACGCTCATTGCCGAGCAGCAGGGCTGGACACTGGGCTAGATGCAGGGTATGCAAGGGCTCACCATTTCCTGCCCTTCTGTTCCACTTTCAGTGCTTGGCATGTGTCTGTGGCTTCCCAGCACAAAGCCTTATGACAGGCTGACAAGGGACAAGAAATGGTCCTGGCCTCCAGATGATTCTGCACGTTACACAGCCCCACTTGATAGTGACAGTTTCCACACAGCAGCACCTGTCCAGGCCATTCCCAAAGACGGTGGTGAGCTGTGTGTCTGGTTGTACATTTTGCTCGGGAAAACATGGTCAGATGTATGCCTATGTTCTGACTCATGGGCATAAGCAACATGGCAGACTCAGAAAGAATGCGATTGGAAAATTGGTGACAAAGACATTTGAGAAAGGGCTATGTCAGAATAGGTGCAAAGGAGCTTAAGCTATCTTTCCTCCACCACCACCATTGCCTAAGAACTCTTCAAAAACGTGGTGTTGGCAGCAGTGGAGGTTACACACTGGCTCAGCCACGCGGACTTCCACTGACCCAGCCTGACCTGGTGCCACAGCATAGGTCAACCCTGAGTTCCCAGTGTGGACCTGTACTCCAAACTGATCGACCTGCAGCCTGCTGGAAAGTCAGTGATATTGGACTATTTCCATCACGGAAGGGGAAGAACATTGTCCTCATTGCAATAGACACTTGTTCTGAGCGTGGACTCCCCTCCCCTGCATGCATTGATTCTGCTGAAACTATCATCTGTGGATTTCCAGAATATCTCAGCCACACAGCATTGCTTCTGAATAAGACACGCAAGTCAAGGCCAAAGAAGCGTGGTGTGATCTTACCATGTTCACCGTCACACCTCCAAGCAGCTGCAGTGATGGATCGGAGGAATGGCCTTGTGCAGATGCAGCTGCGGTGCCAGCGAGGTGATAGTACCTTGCAGGGCTGAGTGAGGTTCACCAGAAAGCTGTGGATGCTCCTGATCAAGATCCCATATGTGGTACTGTTTCTCCCATAATCAGGATCCGTGGGTGTGGGAATCAGGAGGTGGAAATGGGAACGGTACCATCTCCAGCTCCTAGGGACCCACTGGTGAAGTTTTGCAACCTGTCTCTATGGACCTGTGCTCTCCTGGCCTAGAAGTCTTACTTCAGGGTGCAGAATGCTGTTGGCTGGGATGCAAGACGCAGACCACCAAGGGGAAGCTGGATTGCTCCCCACAACGGAGTCCATTAGGGCACCCTCTCCTGTTACCATGCCCCATTGCAAAGGTCCTTGGAAACTATTAGGGTGCAATCTAGGCAAAGAGACAAAGGGCTCAGACCCTTCATAAATGGAGCTGTGAGGTACCCTGTGTCTTGGTCATTTTCCTCATTGCCAGGACAAATGCTCAAAATCCACAACTTAAAGGGAAAAAAGGTTTATTAGGTTTATGTTTTTAGTCAATAGCTGACTGACTGTAAGATACGAAGACGTGGTAGAGGGGCCTGGGTGGAGGAGACCTGCTCATATCATGGTGGCCAGGAAGCAGAGTGACACCTCCCAGCTCACAACCCAGAGACCCACCTCTTCTGGCAAGACCCCCTTCCTAACAGCAAGTCAGCTTCCTCCATGGCTCCAAAAGCCCTACCTGTGCATGTGAAGACTAGGGGGTCTTCTAGCTATGAACCATAACACCCCTCATTTACAGCACCGAGATACACTGAGGTGCTTCCTGAAGGTCATAAGGCATAGTGAGAGCAGGCTATGGTGGCACAGGCCTGTAATCCCAGCACTCAGGAGGCTGAGGCAGGAGGATTGCTGTGAGTTCAAGGCCAGCCTGAACTGCATAATGAAACCCTGTCCCCAAAAAAAGTAATAATAATGTACAGTATGAAAAGATAGTTACCAATGTTAGCTGTGACCACAAAAGCAGTGACAAAGACAAAGACTGCAAATGTCATGGATATTTCTCTATCAGTTTGTTAATATGTTGTGCGCACAGACGTAAAGTGGTTCACGAATTAAGTTCACAAACAATTCGTTTCGCAATTCTGGGGAAGACAGCTGAATTCATTTTTGTCACCTAATTAGAGTTCTCCAACAGGAACAAAATTTTGCTGAATGCTGCTGTTCACTCACATGAGTGTTCATGAACCGAATTATTACTATGTGTGAACCAAGGATCTTTGTTTTTGTTTTGTTTTGTTTTTTCTGGAACTGTGCCATGATTGAATTAATATTTTAATATTACCACTGGGATATTGTTATGTTCATGTTATAATATTGAAGTTACCTAATTGCAAGAGAAGAGTATCACAGAGAAAAATCTGCCTCCTATTCTGGGGAAGGAAAACTAGGGTGTTTCCAGTTTCACACGGAGTTTGGATCACGTGAGAGTTCTGAACGTGCTATTTACTTTTATTTGGGGAATCAAAGACTTCAAGGAGCTGTGTTACACTGTCAAACTGACAAGGCTGGCTGGCCCTGAGGCCTTTGGTGGAGATTGTCAGCTTGACTGGATGAAGAACACAGAGCAGATAGAGCGTGTTTCCGGCTGTGTTGTGAGCTGTCCCAGAGCTGAGGATAAGCAGGCAGCGCACTGAGCGGGAGATAAGGCCTGGGGCCCTGCTTCTGGGGGCTTCCGGCCAGATGAAAGGCAAGCGGGGGAGGTGGAGGGAGGCCTGCAGCTTGGGCTGCTTGCCCAAGCTTGTCATCTGCTACTGTTGTTGGCCGTGGAGTCACACTGTGTGACTCTGGTTCCTTCAGCCTCTCAACGTGGACCCCGCAGGGCTGCCAGGCCTGAGGCTCAGAGATTCATCCTCCATCTCTCCTGTTCCCTGGCTTCCAGCTTGCTGGACTGAGCAGCTTCTGGACCCGCTGGCTATGCAGGGCGCTGCCAGCTGCTGTGAGCTGCCCTGCCCTGGCCCTGTCAGCCCTGGGCACAATCTTAAATGTACACTTATAAGAATATTCATAATGGGCTGGGGATTTAGCTCAGCGGCATAAGCGCCTGCCTTTCAAGCAGGCAATCGTGAGTTCGATCCCTGGTACCGATAAAAATGAAAAAAGACATAAAAATAAAAAATGAATATTCATAATGTATTTTCCTCATTGATTCTGTTCCTTAGAAGACCTAAGCAATATGCTCAGTGCTCAGTTTACTGTGAGGCGCTCACAAATGAAATTGAAAGTGCTTTGCAAACATCAAAGCATAACTTCTGTGATTTATGTTTTCCTCCCTCCAGCAGCTCTGAAGAGGAGAAAAATGTGGTCTCAAGATCAAACACCTTCCTGATTTCTCAGCTGCTGAGCAGAGCAGGGGTGGGCAGCTATCTCTAACCTCAGATGCCACAGAAGTTTGTGGGCCTGGTTTAAGTACTGGCTTCCCACAGCCTAGGGGCCTGGGCCAGGAGAGAAACTTCATTAATTTTCACACAACCCTAAAACAGAATTCGTCCCTGGCTGCTGCTCTGGGAAGAAGGGTGGAGTTAGGCTGGGGTCAAAACCATCTCCCAAAGGGCTGTGTGGTCAGAAGCGGGTTTGGGGAGGTGGTGAGATCCCGAAGTGCCAACCTCCCTGCTGACTGTGCTGCTGGAGGTGGGGCCGAGGGAGGAAGTAGGTCACTGGGGGTGGCGCAGGAAGGGGGTGTCTCCCCAGACCTGTCCTGTCACTGCTTCCTGGCTCCCACCCACTGAGCGATGTCCACTACTCTGTCCCTGTCAGGGCCAGCAGACCTGGGACTGAAATGTGAATCAAAATCAAACTTTTCTCCATAAGCTGTCTGTCAGGGTGTGGTCCCAGCTGGATGTGACCAAACTGATGGATCCAGGTGTCACTGTACCTCGTCACCAGGTGCTCGGTCACAGCAGTGCCCCTAGGAACACTGTTCTCAGCCAATCCCTGTCCTGTCTGCATCTGGCCCAGGGGATTCTGAGGGTTCTCTCTCCTTGGTGTGACTGGGACCAGAACTGTCCCTGCATAGGCCCCAGGCCCTGGTGCCCATGGTTCAAGCTCCTCCTCCTCGTCCTCTTCCTCTTCTTTTTCTTCTTCTTCTTTTTTTTTTTTATTATCGGTACCGGGGATCGAACTCACGACCATGCACTTGCAAAGCAGGCACTTATGCCGCTAAGCTAAATCCCAGCCCTTCTTCTTTTTTTGAATTTTTTTATTTTTGTCTTTCTGAGATAGGGTCTCATTATGAAATTCAGGCTGGCCTTGGGCTCACTTTGTAGCTCAGGCTGGTCTTGAACTTGGGATCCTCCTGCCTCAGCCTCCTGAGTGTTGGGATTATAGGAGTGCACCTGGGCACTTTCAGGGCTTGGCCAGGAGGGGCCGAAGGTATGGTCAGGTGTGGGAAGCAGGCAGATGGCTCCTTCTTTTCTTCCGTTTCCTCCCTTCCCCTTCTCAGCTCTCTGCCTGTCCCTTACTGTTCCACCATGCCCTGGGACAGAGAGTCCCTTCATTTCCCTGTGTTGCGAGGGAAAAAATGTCCCTGGCGAACCCAGGGCCTGGAGTACAGCACATACCTGATGAGTTTTTTGGAGAACACCACTCACCCTGGCCCTATCCTACCTGTAACCTCGGCTGGGTCATCTGCTTGGTCCCCAAGGTCTTGGAAAATAATTGGAGAATTGACACAGAGGTTGGCCAGGGTACAGTCCTTTTAGGAATGGAAAAAAGTAGGCACAACCCTGTCCTGGAGAGGAATTGGTTATCCTGGTGCTGAACCTTAGGGGTGCTCAGAGCATCTTTTCCCATAGTCCTCTCCGCCCCTGACCCTCTGTGGCTGAGTAGTGGCCACCCAAAGTGGTCAGCTTGGCCCCTAAGGTCCTGGAGGCCTCATCCATGGCCATGGCCAGGCTTGGGAAATGGAGGTGCCTGACGTCTAGTGGGGGCCTCAGTGATTAGGTGATAAATGTTAGCAGTTCATAGTTATGAGCTCTTTCAATGTTTCAAGCTGCCTGGAGCAGTGGGAAAGGCCCTGATAATGTACTGATGGCTTTGAGTGAGCTTTGAGCGGTCCTCGCTTCCACGGTCTGCGTGGTGATCCAACTCTCTGCCTCCCATGGTGACCCTGACCCTCTCATCCGCAGTGATCTGTCCTGTGGCTGGGAGTGAGTTCCTCACCCTCAGAAGAGAGGAGCGCCTCTAGCTCCACTCTCCCCATCCATCCCTGGGGGCCGCCGGCCGCTGCCTCTGCACCTGCCATCAGTGTGAGGACTGAGTGGACCTGAGCTGGCCTGCGCAGTCTGCCAGGTAGGTGCCAGGTCACAGGCCGTAGGGGACAGGTCCTGCAGGTCCCCATGTTATGAGGGGTGACACAGGAACATGGACTCATCGGGGGACACAGCCTGGTCTTGTGTTGAGGAGCAGAGCTGCAGAGGCCAGCCCTACTGTATAGAAAGGAGTTTTTCTAAGCCAGCCCAGGGCTGCGCAGCTGTAACCGTAGTGCCCACCCGGCTAAGTGAGGGTCAGAAGATCGAGGCTCAGGACTAGAGGGACACCTTCTCCAAGAATAAGCAAACACGGGAACTTTTCAGCCCAAGCAGAGTACCTCAAATGGCACAAGATGTAATCACGTCTTGAGAGTTGATTTGTACCTCCTGTGTTTTTCCCCAGAAGTATGTCTTGCGTGTTACCAGCGACCTCCCTAAACTACACGAGCACCCGATGGAGAAACAAGGCCACGATTAGATGATGAGAGCGGCAGCAAGCAGGATGCGGCCACCCAGAGCCCAGAAGACTCTCACCGCCCGGGCATCAGCTGCCACTTCCATGCCTGGTCCCAAGCCTGCGATTGTCCCAGTGCCAACTGGGCGCTACCTCTTTGTGGGAAGATGAAGTTGCTTGGCCCACATATCCAGGCCTGCAGGAGGAAGGGCCAAGCCCAGCGCCCTGAATGCCACAGGTTCTCTGCTGCTACCCTTCCAAGCCCTGCCTGAAGTTCACCTGCCCTCTGCCGTTTTGCTTAAAAATCAAGCTAAGGCTCTTCTTCCAGCCGCAGCAGCACTGGTGGGAGGCGGGGCATCCCGTACCCCGCTGGTGTAGAGGGGCAGCAACAGGACCTTCCCTCCCACACTGTCAATCCTGTCACTCTAGCCACGCCACGGGGCCACACGCAGGGAGCCCGCAGGGGCCACAGCTCGGCCCTTCTGGCGCCTGACTGGTGACCCTCCAACAGCCGGCTCAGCCACCCCTTCCCGCCCCCACGCAGCTGCAGGCTCTGTTCTTGCTCTGGCTGGGCCCCCAGCCCCGTCCTTGTGTGTGTGCTCCGCTGTGCACCAGGCCAAGGCCCAGGGCTGGAGCCTTGGCTGGTCCTGACTTGCACCTCTGCTAAATTTTCCTTTTACATTTAAATGTATAAAAACACATAACAGTTATTATTTACGGCTGCCCGTAATTGATTTTTTTGTTTTATTTTTTGTCTTTTTGAGACAGGGTCTTGCTATAAAGTTAGGCTGGCCTTGGACTCACTTTGTAGTCCAGGCTGGTCTCAAACTTGCAACAACGATCCTCCTGCCTCAGCCTCCCTGAGTGCTGGAATTACAGGCGCGAGCCACCACACTTGGCTACACAGATGGTATTTTACCCCTAACTCTCCCACTTTATGGAAGAATTTTAAAACTTCTCAAACCAAAACCCCTTCTGAAACAGGGCTGCATAGCACTATAAAATTACTTTTTACATATATAAATATATAAAAATCTCAATTTCTCACATTGAATCTGGAATGAAAAAAATCTCAATTTCTCTCTTGAGGATGAAAAAGTCTTTATTCTTTTAATGATATTCTTTAAAAATCATTTATCATGGGGCTGGGGATTTAGCTCAGCGCCTGCCTTGCAAGCAGGCAGTCTTGAGTTCGATCCCTGGTACTGATAAAAAAAAAAAATCATTTATCAGGCTGGGGATTTAGCTCAGTGGCACAAGCACCTGCCTGGCAAGCATGAGGTTGTGAGTTCGATCCCTTATACAAAAAAAAAAAAAAATCATTTATCCCCTGAAGACAAATTTGTGTTACACAAAGTTTTGTCTTCCATAAATCTCAGCTTAAAACTTCAAGTATTAAAATAATTTGTATAAACCGGGCGTGGTGGCTCACACCTGTAATCCCAGCACTCAAAGATGAGGCAGGAGGATCGTTGTGAGTTCGAGACCAGCCTAGGCTACACATTGAGCCCAAGACCAGCCTGAACTGCACAGTGAGACCTTGTCTCAAAAAGACAAAAAAAAATTTGTATATGCACAGAGAAAGGTAATTTTTCAAAATATACACAGGCAGCAGCTTGGGGCTCGGCGGAAAGGAAAACATTACAGTCACCTTAACTGTCACATGTAATGAATTCCCAAGTAGAAGCTGGTGGATTCATCCAAGTTCATGGAAAAAGCACAGTTCTCCAGGTACCTGGGTCAAAGGGACCTCCAGCTGCTGGAGACCAGGAAAAGTTGTGTGGAGCAGAGCAGGGAAGCCAGGCCTCAGAGGGCAACTGATCAGGAGGGACGGAGAGGAAAGGAGAGGGCAGCTCAACCCAGGACGGGGGTGAGGGACCTGAGCCTGCATGGTATGGGGCGCAGCTGCAGGCAAGCTGGACGGAGACCTCAGGAAGGGCTGAGGACTTGGGGACAAGGATGGACCTGAGAAGAGCAGAAAAAGAGGCCAAGTGTCTAACTGTGTTACGATGCCTGGATCCTGGAAGGGACGGCTGGGAGGCAGTGGTACCCCCAGGGCTTTGTAACCCTAACCCACAGAGATACCCAGGATTTGGGAGCGAGGCTCTGTCATCAGCTGCAGGCAGTGACTGTCCCTTTGAGAAACAGCTCCTGGCTGCCTCCTGGGCCTTAGAGGAAACTGAACACTTGACCACAGGACACCAAAGTAACATGTGACTTCAGCTGCTTGTTATGATATCTTCTGATCGCTCAAGCCAAAGGGCCACTTGTGAACAGCCCTGATCCACTGGAGGTGGTGCACACGAGACTAAGGCCAAGCAGGTCGGAAGGCTCCCAAAAAGTGGCCCAAGTGCCCATGGTGCCTCTTCCTGGTCTCCTGCCTTCTGCCCCCAGGGAACCCCAAAGGCCAAACGAGGTATGCCCTGTGGTCAGCTGGCAGAAGAGCAGACCAGGGCCTGGTTTGCAGATGCAGGCACCACCCAAAGAGGACACCACTGCAGCCCCTTGTTGGGGGTCCCTGAAGGACCACGGTGAAGGGGAGTCTTCACAATGCATAGGCTTTGAGCATTGCACCCCACATCATTTTCCAGGAGGGAAATTGACCAGATGTGCGACTATGGAGCAATTCATAACTAGTGGTCAGTCAGGTGGCCAGGAACCGAGAAGGAACCCAGTTGGAAAATTAGTACAAAGATATTTGAGGAAAAGGGTATCTCTTTGCAGGCATAAGAGAGGCCAAGATATTTGCATTCCACACAAGTAGCATCAGTCTCAGGCAACTCCATCCTCAGCCACCTCTGTCACTGTGGAATGGACAAATGGACAGAGTGGTCATGCTGGCGGGGATGGAGGTTACGCATGGCTCTATGAGATGGACTTCTCTCACCAAGCCCGATCTGGCCACACAGCCACTGCTGAGTGCCCACTCTGCCAGCAGCAGAGATCCACAGTGATACAGTGATACAGGTGCTGACACACACCCTGGGTGATGAGCCCACCTACAGCTCATAGGTTGATTCTACTGGACCACTCTCACTGTGGGAGAGAAGCTCTTTGTAGTGAGTGGGCTACATACTTATCATTAGTATGGATTTGCCTTCCCAGCATGCAACACTCCTGCTGGAACCACCATCCACAGACTTACAGAATGCCTTACCCACCATCAGGTTATCCCACCGTGTGGCATTTGATTTATTTCACTTATGAGTATGGTCTCAAGTTACATCCATTTACTTATAAATATCTCAATGTGATCCTTCTTTATAGCTGAGTAGTATCCATTGTATAAAAATATCACACCTTTTTTATCCATTTCCCAGTTGATGGGCACTCAGCTTGTTCACAGTGTGGCTTTTTTTGTTTGTTTGTTTGTTTTTATCGGTACCGGGGATCGAACTCATGACTGCCTGCTTGCAAGGCAGGCACTTATGCCGCTGAGCTAAATCCCCAGCCCCCCACAGTGTGGCTTTTGAACAAGTGCATACTTCATGGCCAAGTGTACATATAAGCCACTGATCTTACTGTGTTCCCCTCCCTCCAGAAGACAGGCTACAGCTAGTAGAGCTGTGAAACTGCCTTTTGCAGATGCAGTTATGGTGACAGCTAAGGGGCAATATTTTTCGGGGCTGGGCAAGGATCTTTGGAAGGCTATATATGCTCCCAGATAAATCTGATGCACTTGGGAGGCAGAGGCCGGAAGATTGCTGCAAGTTCAAGGCCAAGCTAGGCTATGTCGTGAGTTTAAGTCCTGCCTGCTACATAGCAGGACCCTGCTTTAGAAAAAAAAAAAAAAAAAAGAAAGAAAAAGAAAAAAGAAAAAAAGAAGAAGAAGAACAAAGAAAGAAAGAAAGAAATCCGATGGATGGTATCGTTTCTCCCAAAGCCATGACCCTTGTATATGATAATCAAGGGCTAGAAATGCAAATGGTAGAGCCGGGGATTTAGCTAAGTGGTATGATAGCCTGCCTGGCAAGCATGAGGTCATTACCAGTACAAAAAAATGCAAATGGTACCAGCCTCCACTGACCCTATGACCCACTCACAAATGTTTGTCACCTGTTCCCGTGACCTTATGCTCCCCTGGCCTAGAAGGCTTAGTTTGAGAGCAGGGAAATGCTTCTATCAGGAGGCCTAACGATTCCACTGAACCAGAAGTTAGGACTGCCCCTCCTGCCTGGACTCTTTATGCTTCTAAGTCCACAAGCTACAAAGGGAGTGATGGGGGGGCAGGGGTGATTGATGCAGACTATCGAGGGGGAACTGGATTATTCGTCCACAGTGGAGTTCTTTAAGGCAGCCCTCAAATCAACACGTCCTGCTATGAAGGTCAGTGGGAAACTGGGCAACCCAGTCCAGGCGGGGTATCAAATAGACCCGGCCCTTCAGGACTGGGTATGGTTCACACTACCAAGTAATGGACCAGGGTCTACCGAGGTGCTTGCTGAGGGCTGAGGGAATACAAACTGCATGGTAGTCATCAATACCAGCTAGGATCAGGTGCCCAGTTACAAAGTCAAGGATTGCCATTGGCCTGAGTGTTCCTCTCATGTCATGTTGCTATGCGGTGCGTACATACATATGTGAAGCAGATATCTTTGGTTTCTTTCTTGTATTTCTACACCATGCAACACAACACTAACCTACTTCACATCAGAACTCAAGCATTGGTAAGTCCACATTATAACATTTATGTAATGGAGTATCAGGAGAAGTACAAGCGTCACCCAAAGAAGAACATTTCTTCCTACTTTGGGGAGGGAATTTGGATGGTTGGACCCTGTTAGGCAGACTTAGGAACTTGTTATTTTTTTCTACTTGGAGATTCATATGGCTCAAAGAGAAGTGTTTCACTGTTGAACTGCCAAGGGGTGGATTGTGGCCTTTGATGAAGATTGACAGTTTGACCGGATTAAGAACCGCAGAGCACGCTAGGCGTGTCTATGGGGCGTTTCCGGAGATGATTGACATGTAGTCCAGCAAACTGGGGGGAAAGATCCAGCCTGATAGTGGGTGGCAGCTTCCGGTAGGCTTCCAACCCAGGTGGAAAAAACAGGGAAGAAGACAGAGGAAGTTGGACTGTGGCCTGGGCTGGGCGAGTTCCGTGGTGCTTGTGTGGGTTTCTCACTGGCTTCCTGGGGACAGCACACACCAATCTCTGCAGCCTCTCAGTGTGGAATCCACCAGCAACCCTCCACGGAGCTTCCAGGCCTCAGGCTCAGAGATGCATGCTGTTGCAGGGCTTCCTGGACTGAGCAGCTGTTGGATCCCGGGCTATGCAGGGCACAGCCAGCCACTGAGGGCTGTTCCTGGCCCTGTCTGCTTGTGGGATAAAGCCCCTGGCAGAGACAGGTAGAGTTATGGGTCTGGTTTTAGATGCTAATGCATAGCTCTGGTACCTGTGGATTCCGTTCTCCTAGAGAATGTCAACCCGCACACTTAGTTCACTGGGAGAACCAACAGTGACACAGAAACTGAAAGTGCTTTACAGATAACAAAGTACCACTTCTGTGTTTTATTAGTTTTTGTCACTTCAACCACTTTGACAGAAGACAAAAGTGTGATCTCTGGGGACCAAAGTCTTCCCTAGGTTTAACGGCTAAAGAGAACCAAACTTTCCCAGCCTGGGTCAGGTCCATACTTCCCTCAGCCTGGGGCCCGGGGCCAGGAAAGAAAAGAGCTAGGTTGTATCCCAGTGATACCTTTTATTTGTTACAGCC